GTGGGTCGAATGTTCTATGATAGTTTGTGGGTCGTAGATTACCCTAGGGTAAGCCTAGTATGAGATTAGTGACAGTAGTCTCCTGGTTGCGAATTGTATGTGTGGATAGAATTGCTTGATTGGAGTATTTTGGTTAATTTTCCGTTGTCCGAATGTTGCTTTCTTTGTGCTTTGTAGGACTCTTAGCGATGTGAGTTAGCTACTAAATAATTATGTTAAGTAACATGTAGCACATGATGGATGATCTCAGAGTGATGGACTTGACCCTATTGCACAACTCTTGTATGAGTCCAAACGTTCTAGGGATGAGTCTTTTACTTGAAGGATTATCTGATCTCTGCTACATATGGATGTATTCATGAGGTAGCTAGTTACCATTACTAGGAATCTTTCAGTAATTGAGGACTAGGTGGGTTAGGAACCTAGGAGAGGCTAGGATATGCTCTAGTGACTTAGTAGGGCGGTTCAGTGAGGTTGGGAACCTAGGGGGAGCGTAGGAGGTGCTTCGTTGGATATTGTGTTGCTGTTTAGCAGACATTTAGTACATCATGGGAGTAGGTGACTTAGAGGATTCGGGATGATTCTGGAGGAAAGTATGGATAGGTGTGGAAGGTAGTATTCAACTCATACTACTGAAGGCACAGGATCCATGCTTGAATCGGGGAAAGTCTTGAAGAATCTAAGAAGTCTGGGAAAGAGAATTATTGGTTATGCTTGGACTATGGTAATAGCTGTTATGAAAAATGAGGATGAGCATGCATGGGAAGGACCAGGGTTTGGTCCCGACTTCAGTGGTGAGCTAGTTAGCGGAAGCACTGCCAGAATTTTGAGTTCGCCTTGGTCTCTTATATCAGGTGGAAAAGATTGATTGTGCGATCTATTGCGCTGCTTTTGGGATTGGAGACTATGTCTTGGGAGTAGTGGTAGCCCAGTTTAGGGTAGAGATTGCTTCAACTACTGCAGTTCAGTCGTGAACGAATGAGCAAGTGAATGTGTCAGGGTAAGATACCTTGAATGATATGATATCTAGAGCTCGAGAGCAAAAGATTGATTTAGAGTACCTCAAGAATAACGGTTTAGATCCGGTGTATATATTCGAGGGTCCCTGGAAGAGACCCAAGATTTCGGATCATCTTTCAATAGGCCAGCAGGGCAAAATATAGTGCAGCAGAAGCAGGAAACCATACGATGGAGTTATCGATCAAGGACTATGGTTCACTAAAAGCATAGCAGGATTGAACGTGTTAGCAGGTGACATTGCGAGTGGATGATCAACTTAGGGTGTCCGATCTGATGGATCGGAAGTAAGATGTTGGAAGGATGTGATGAGGAGAGAGTGTTGCAACTCTGTAGAGTAGCCCGTAGCATTTACTGGTCCATAGGCAGCGGTAAGATGTTCGCAAATTTGTATTCACCTTCGGATTTCTATGATAAAAGGGCGCCTTAGGAAGTGATTGGACCATTAGATTCGTTAAGAATACAAGAGTATTCTTCAGGATTTCCAAAGCTGAGCGATCATTGTGTTTGGATTACTATGGGGCGCTTGTGTTGTCAGCGTAGGACTTAGGCGGGTCATGCATATTAATGGAAATGGATCGGAGATTCGTAAGGTGTAAGAGGCAAAAGAGCATCACCGTGCCCAAGTGGGGGAGAAACAAGTGGCTGCTTAGGCCGAGGTTGTGTTGGTGGGAGTTCAGGGAACTCCCAATCTTTGGTTAGCATCGCCTTAATTATGCATAGTGAGTAATGGGAATCCATAGTTACGACCCGAACTTCTGATAGGATATAGGATTCGGCTCGAGTGGTGCGACGATGTGATAGTGGAGTGTAGAGATGCCATGGATGGTAAGCATGGTTGGATGGAAGTAGTGTTAGGCTGCGATAGGATCGTAGCATTCATCATTTCAAAGTAGACGATGTATGTAATGGTCACAAGCATGAAAGGGGGATCAGCTCATGCTTGGGGCACACCAACCAGCGTTGTTAGGGAATTATTCCTTGTTCGAGGATGAGGGTCTTAGGGATCCGCAGGCGAGCTTGGGTAATTATGGAAGTTCAGGTTGGAATTGGTAAGGAGTGTTGAGTCAAGGGTTTAGGTCTGGAGTTGTTGGATCGTGTAGATAACCTGTATGTGACACAGAGGAGTCTAGGTTGGGTAGCCTCGATATTGATCTCTTGGGAATTTGGTGGTTGGACCAAGTGCGAGACTAGTAGTCTCGGGGATTGACTTAAGGTTATTTAATTATCGGTCAAGTAAGGGATGTCGGGATGTTGTGCTGCATTATGCAAATGCATATTCACGAATCTTGGGGTAGGAGCGGAGTATCAGTTAGGTTTGGATAGGATCCCAAATCGAAGTTCGTGCATGTTTAGTGAAGGATTTTAGCTTCAGTGAAATAAGATTGGGGTACCTATATGTCAAGGGAGTCAATTGCTAGGTTCAAGTGTAATGGATGGGATTAGTTGACGATAGTTCGAGTTATTATGATGTGTCTTGGGTGGTGCTATCTGTGAAAGAGCCACAACGTGGTTGAAGCGAGGAAAAGATGGGTCGTAGGAGACCCGGCGTGATGTCAGACTATAGTGGCTCTAGTAGCATTCACTTTTTGTATTAGATTCTATGGTGATAGGTTGCCATGATATTATGATCAGATGCATCATAAGGATTGATGGAGCCATTAGTGGCGGCATGGCTAGGGCAGATATTGCAAGATGAGGTTTCTTTCGGAGGTCGTGTGGAGCAAATGCAAGGTTGCTCGTTGGCTCAACAACCAGGCAGGAATCCGGTGTTCCGGATGTGGGTGTTCTTCATCTGGTTATGGTACGTGAATTCATTCAGTGGTTAACACCGAGATAATCAGGATTGGAGGTGCTTGTTGGTTAGACACTCTGTGAGGAAATTGTTAGTACTGTTCCAGCGCAAGCGGCCTGACAAGATTCGAACCAATGTGAGGTCTCAAGATCCAGGGAGGCAGGAGTAGTTCCTGCATGAGATGAAGGATTTACCCCTCGATGGGATTAGAAGAAGTCTAGTTGGGATGGGATCAGTTGCCTTGGGAAGGCTATCGGAAGTTCGGGGTGACCGTTGTGTCCCTCGGTATGTCGGGTGTTCGTATTTGTTGGGTTCCGAATAGGTTGTCAAATTCTGGTAAGAGTTGAATACTCAATTTTTATTGAGGTCGAAGTACTCTCAATGCTCCACCTTAAAGAGCGACACCCCAATTTAGGAAGAACAGTTGAAGGCCGGTACATAGATTCTGTTGAGTTTTGGCCTGGATTGGGCAAGGTGGTGCATCATGTAGGACTATTACGGATGCTCATACTGATTTATAGTGCATCCTATGTATCATCCATAGAAGTGTTTGGGAGATGACTCTATATACTTCCATATAGTCGATATTCAGGCAAAGGAGCGTTTGAATCATGGGAGGAAGTTGGTGCTAGTTATCAAACAGAAAATACAGGCCATAAGGAAGTAAGGTAGCAAGATTAGAGAAGGAAAATGGGAATCATCAATCGGTTATAGTAGGTAATGGAAGTCGCGGGTGTGGCTCATGAGCAGTGGCTGGAGGAGGAGATGAGGAAGCATTAACCAGACCCTGTGCATCAGCAGACTTCGAGGACGGTCCCAGCTTGATCGCAACACACACACAAACATGTTTCCGCAATATATGCTTTTTGGGACGAACTCTGATGAATGTTTTTAATTAATCATGCTTTTGGAATGTTTGGATTTAAAGATATATGTTTTTTGACTGAATTGAAAAATGAAATTTTTACCCTTAATTTTTGGGTTGTTACACCTCAACTCCCTCATCTGGAGCTCCATCTCAATCTCACTCCACTTCACGGCCTCCTACAACTCAATAAGTGAACCATAGAGCTGAGTAGATACAAATTGGCGGATGTCCGTCTTGATCATGCTCAAGTTATGTGCTTGCTCAAAGTAGCAAACTTAGAGCAGAACAATGCTCTCTTAGTGAAAATATTGGTGATCTCAGTCACCAACTCTATGTGCCTCAGGTCTAGATACTCCTGGGCTAATATCTATCTCTTTTTCTCTCTCTATCTATCTCTCACTTCACCAAATGGACTTATCTCAAATGTAACATCTCAGAGAATTGCTCCCAAGATACAACAGCTCCCTGCTATGGTGTGTATAAATCAGTAACCAGACTCCACCAATCCATTGCTCCAGACTGAAGATGGTTTACAATGCACTTGAATTTTTGTTTAGCTAGGCAAGAACACGTAAACAAACTTCCCTCAACGTCAGACAACCACCTCATGGAAATGATCGGATCCTTAACTCCCTCAAACACATGGGGCTTCGTATTGTCGAAGTCCCGGTATTGGAAGGCTGTCCCCCCATACAGTCCCCACAACAGCAACGAAGGAAGTAGCTGTAACAAGAACCTATAAAAGTGTAGCATATCGTTCATTAAAGAACTCTATCATAGTAGTCTAGATAGACCCATACAACTTCAGTATCTACCCTCGGACTATAGAAACAACCTCAACATGAATCATCTCCCTAACCTGATCCTAAGTCAACCCTGGCCTATCGTGGCCACTCCCTCATGATCCGAATCCTCTCCTGAACACCATAATAAAAATAAACCAGAGAGATAGCAGATAAAACACATATCACACCATAGGAGCCAACCCCCATAAGACCCTAGGGTTTGTGAGTAACGCCCGCGGATTCGAGCTAGTCAATTTAAAGATAATAAGTGTCAAAAATGACTTTTTGATTCAAGATTATTTAGAGCCTATATCTCAACAAATGTTTTCCTAGGATTACTTCTATCGTTTGACGGGACTTAGGTTGCGCTGTTAATGTGTCAGATCCACCATGAGATGCTTCGTGACACAAGTTTTTTCTCTAAAATCCCCCTTTTTCCAAGAACTTTCATCCTTACCTCCTTTCTTCACCCTTGTTGTATCTATCTGGGCATTCTGAAAAGTTTTCTTTTTGATCACTTATTTTTTCCTCGACGATGGACCGTTATGGTAGAGTCCGTACTGCTGAGGAGTTCCAATTCCTGCAAGATCGCTTCAGTTTCTTACCGGAGCATGGTGTAACGATTTCGGCAAAGGGAGTATTGATCTACAATCATCCTCTAGGTAATATCGGGGTTCCTATTACTTTGTTTGAAGCAGGGTTGCGCCTACCAACATCGGATTTTTTTATATGATCGTGCAACATTACGGTTTTACTATCGACGAGTTAACCTCGAGTGCTGTCAATAAGATCGTTGGTTTTGAACTGATCTGCCGCTCTTTTGGTCGCATTCCCACCTTCTAGGTTTTCAGTTACTTTTTCTGCTCAACTACTAACTTCGGCATCCGTACCCTAGCTAAGCGATGAGGCATTCACCAACTGATCTCTGAGTTGGATACTTCGAAGAAGAACTGACAAAGGCAATGGATTTGGGTCGACCAGAACCTCGTGGGGCATGGGTATCGTAGGAAAATAGACTTTTATGACCGTCTCCCTAAGTTGTTTGGAGGCGATCTGACTCTTGGCAAACAGCTGGGGAGTGTTACTATCCATGGAGAAAACTAGGAAGACTTTATTCTTGTCGCGGCCGATATGAGTGCCGCCTTGAGGGCTCACAAGAAGACGACGCAGATGTTCGTCGTGAGATGTGGTATTAACTCATCTCCTTCCCCCCCCCCCCTTTTTTTTTTTGAAAACATAGTGAGGATAAGATATCTTGTTGGCTTGTGATATCTTACTTTTGGTGTTTGCTTTCACAGGTGTGGAGGCTGAGATTTCTTTGGAGATAGCCCTGCGTGGTCACTATTAGGGCAAGCTTTTCCATCGAGAGATCAATCTCATAGAGGTTCTTCCTCCTCCTGTGTCTGATAGATGCGTGTGGGAGGTTGCTGGGCTACTCTTCGTAGAAGGGGGAAATATGGGTTCCAACGTGCCTGCATCACATTCTCTGCCGACCGTTGTGTCCGTTTCCCCAGTTCGTTCGCCATTTTTTATTCCTTCTGTTTTGCCTGTAGGTGCACAAGTAGGAAAAAGTAATGCGTCTACTCAAAAAATTCATAGCGTGCATGTGGTGCCGTCTTCGGTTGAAGAGATAGAATCCAATGATACGGGTCTTTGTCCTTGTAATGCTCGTAGAACTATGTATGTGGCCAGGCTTCTTGGTGGTTTCGGGGATATACTCAGCGTTTAATTTTTTGTGCTTATGCAGAGAGAGGTGGTGGTGGTACCCAGTTCTCCTAGGCCCTCACCCTCTCGATCCGCTAGTTCGACCTTGGTTAATCCTGGTTTCGGCTTTGTATCTAGGGGTGCGACGAGTTCGCCTGGGGGTTCTCTTCAACGTGAGACGCCTTCTCTGATCAATGGAACATGGACTTTATCTCACTCCCCGTCTATTGAAGCCTATGCTCTGGGCTGGGTGATTACTAAGGGTTCCTTGCTATCAGAAGACACTACCGCCCAGGAGTGGAGTAGGTGCGCTCATCCCCCAGCCATGACGAGTTGGCTTGTGGGTTAATCAAGTGCTCGCATGGCTGATGACCTTTGTTACGCCGCAATCCAGACCTCTACCCTTATGGTGGAAACTGCCGACTCGGTTCACCTACCCGGTGCGAGTCAGTGGAAATTAAAAGTACTTCAGGGTGCCTTGGCAGGCATGAGGGAGGAAGTTCATGATTTAGAGGCGGAGCGTCAAGTTCTTGTTGAGTAGAGTAGCATTATGGTCGGCGAGAAAGCCGCTTTAGAGGTCAAGTGGCTACTTTGGAGGACAGGTCAGAGCGACTTGAGGACTAAGTGAGCTCTCTCATGTGAGAAAAGGATGTGCTGGCGAGTAGACTGGCAAGATGCCAACGTCAATTAGCTCGAGCTCATGCTTAAGGTTCCGTTGCTCGAGGTAGTTTGCAATGGGTGTTGCAGAAGGGGGTGGTTCGTGTGATTGACAGGGTCATCGAGAGCGCTGAGTTCGCCAAAGGGGTCCAGGATGCTCGTGAGGCTTGTGAAGTCCTTGGTTTTGAGAAGGGGAGGCAAATGAGTGGTTGCTCTACATCTTCCAGTAACTATGAAGTTTCGGGTCCTGGCTAAGTGGCGAGCAGGGCCAAAGAGGTCAACAGTGCCCTTACATCTTTTGCCGAGACGGATTTTGTTGGCCTCTTCCATTTAGGGGAGTTAGATTACAATGGCTTCCATCTATTTTGTGGCAAGCTGAGTCTGGGAGGTTCTTCCTCGGACTCCAAGGGCTGACTTGTATATGCCCCTTGTTATTTGCCTTTCTGTGTACTATATGTATAGTGTAAAACATTGGTTACTAATAACCATGGATTGTGTTTTTTGTTTTGTATTTGGTATGGAAGTGTTCTCTTCCTTTTTTTTTGTATGTATGTACATGCTTTGAGCAGTAATTCATTTTTTCACATTCCCTTGTTCTAGTGTTTGGGTTAATATGGTAATGTGTTCTTCAGATGTCGCATAGCTGCTACTACTAAGCTATGTTCCTCTGAATGGTATGTTTAGTTAGGTTTATGATATGAAGTCGTGAAATAATAGTCAATGCTATTGACTATGTTGTATGGTGTAGCTACAATTACATTGACTCAGATCGTCATCTCAAGGCCTTTACTATTAAATTTTTAAGGGGAAGGGTTATAAACCTTTTATGACACCTCGTTTTGTACCATTTACACAATCTCGACTTTGAGATGTTATTTGGCATATTGTAGCTAAATATTATGACTCTTTTAAGACCTACGGTTGTAGTCTTGCATAGATTTTGCTCAAGTAGCATAGGTGATCAGTCGTTGTTGTTACTTCGAAAATATGCACAACCTCTATATTTTGTGTTTTTGCAATACATAATTCTAGAAAGTTATTTCAAAATGCAAAATATATTATTTCTAAAAGGAAAAAAGAAAGACATGAGATAATAGACCCTGAATGTCTAAGTGTGAGGGCGTGCGCCCAATCTTTGCTTTGGCACCTGAAGTAGGGCTATCATGTGCAAAGTTGGGCCATACTTCTTGTTTGGCAGTGACGTCTTTCTACATCTAGTGTAGGTTAGCCTTCATAGGTTGGGGCTTCCTCTTATTTCCCTAGCGGGGCCTAGCATGGAGGAGTTATGTTTCGTTTCTCATTCCCATGGGATGTTCTCTTCTGTCTTTCTTTGTGACTCGATGTGTGTTGCAAACGTGGGAAGAACCTCCCCTTGGTCAGGTAAGAGTGCCTCCTGTACGTTTCTACACACCCATCTTCCATGCATGTCCCGCTATTACTATAGATGTTGCTATGTTTACTGAGGGCTCTTGTTGGTTCTCTCCTACAAGAAAACCTACTCGTTAAAAATAATGGCATTCCGCCTCCGTTGTTGTTGTTTCATGCACTTGCACCCTCTGTTCTGAGGGGCATTGGTCTATCGGCAAAGATTTGCTCTGGAGCCCGAAATGTTCTCTTGCTAGGCCTTGCCTGGTTTTCAATTATAGGTTAGGCAGGTGCTTTTGCCTGTGGGCCAACATTTTCTCACTATGTTCTTGTCACTCTATGTTCTTGTTGAGCATTCCTTGGATCATCAAAAGTTCCCTTCTGTGGGTGAGATGTTACTAGTCAACTGAAAACATCTCGCTTTCGTTTCCTGGTCTAGTGGGTTGTCACTTGTGCCATAATAGATTTTCTTTGTGAGTCTTCTATTTTTTGGCGACCTTCGTTTTGATGCGATTGGGTTTCTTGCCTCGCTCCTCATTGGGCGTCGTGCCCAATTATCGGCTTGGTCGCTACTACCGTTGCTAACTCATCACTCGTGTTGAATTTAAGAACACCATGGAAGGTAGATGGGATTGTTTGCAGCTGGAAAAGCATGGGCCGACCTAAGATAATGTTGTGCTCTGTCGGGTGATCGATAACGAAGAATTCGTGTACCCTTGTTATCTCCTTTGCTCTGTCTAGACCAGTCAATGTGAACGGGAGTTTGACTGTTCCCGTTGGCTAAATGCGGTGACCAGTGAAACCAACTAGTAGGCCCTAGCACGGTGGCTGGAGGTACTTTTTCCATGTGATTGGCAGTTGAAGGCAGTTCTCGTAGATCACGTTTGTTCTACTTCCGTTGTCGATGTAAACTTGTTATACACGGTGTTGAATAACAAAGTCGGTGATGTGCAATGGATCATTGGGGCCCCAATGTTTGGGCTTGGGTTCATTTACCGAGAATGTTATCTTGAGTATGTTTTGGCAGTATGGCCCTGCATCGGGATATCAGCTTTGGCGGTTGATGCATGGATGGGGCCTGGTGATGGTGAGTATCTCCACCCTTTTTCGCAGTCTTTTCCTCCATCCTTTTGATTTTGGGTTGGTATTTATCGCTGTCGAATTTTTCCCTGAGGTCTTTTGCTATATCAACAATGTTCCCCACTATTTTTTTTTTCATCAATCTCCTTCTTTATCACTGTACACTCATTTGTATCATGAGTTCTGTTTGTATAATACTCGCAGAACTTAGGCTTGTCTTTGTTTTCCTTGGATGGGGCCTTGTTGATTGCATGAACATCGGTATGACCGCTTTTGATATCGTCCCTATAGAACGGTATGTATCTTTGGGACATATACCAGGGGTAACGATTGTGTCGTTGCTGGTCGCCATCTTGCCTTCCCTGCTGGGCCGAGATTGGCTGCGACACCGTCTCCTCCTGTTTTGCATATGCATTGGCTATAGCTTTCATATTGGCCTCTTTTCGCTCTCCCCCTTCGATTTGCCTCAGGTATTTTTCAACATGAAACTTGAGTTCGTCCCGGGATCTGGGGACAGTTCCCTGTATCTTCTTTGATAAGGGCCCCGAGAGTAAACCTTGGGAAAAAGAGCATATTACCAAGAACTATTCATGTCTTGGAACATTTAAGGTTTCCAACGTAAACCAGTCATAATATTCACTGGTCGATTCCCCCTCTTTCTGCTTGCATGCCATTACAGAATTAGCGTCCTCCTTGCATTTCCTCAACTGCATGAAATTGTTGAGGAAAAGGTATTTTAGTTGCTCAAAACTAGAGATGCTGCCCTACCATAGTGATTTGAGCCACTTACCAACATTGCCGGTTAGGGTGCAAGGAAAATAAGTGTAAGTGAAGCGACAATCCATCTTGAGGGAAGTCATCGTCCATTCATAATTGTCAATGTGGTCATCTGGGTTTATAGTACCTTCATGTTTGGGAATGTGTGAGATCATCATCGTGTGCGGAATCTCGTGGCTAAAATTAGAGTTGGCGCCTTGTATGGGATTGTCCATGTATGAGTATGACATCCCTCCGTAAGCCATGTGTTTCTGTACTTGGTACGGGCTTATATACATCTAGTTATGCATGGCCACTAGCGAGATGTATGGCTGATATTGCAGTAGATTTGGCGTCGGCCCAAATTGATGGGTTCCTTACTGCCCTGCAGGTGGAGCCATATGTAGGCTTGCTCCTGTATACTGCTGAGCGTATGGGGTAAACGGTTGAGCCGTTCTCATGAAGGGATTAAACTCGGATTGTAGTGGGATCTGGGTGCTAGGTACATAATAACCGAATCCCTTGCTTGTCGAGATTTGGCCGCGTGTGGTTTGTGGTTGGAACAGTGCAGGAGTTGAATCTAGGGTGTGTTGTACCAACACATTGAGGATTGGTGGTTGTTATATACATATTGGTATGTAGGGAAAACCTGTCATGGTGTCTTGCGGGTATACCATTAGGAAATATTGTTGTTGTGTTTAAATGACATGCAGGATCCATGTACCGGTGTTAGAGGAAAGTAGGAGAGACTATTTTTGTGAAATAGGGATCTCTGTTTGATGCGTTGTGATGATTTGTGGAGTTGTGGTTACGATCGGCACTTGTGGAATTGTGTTGGTTGTTGGGCGCCAGAGGCTGGCCGTGATAATTGTCGTTGTCTGTACTGTAGAACTAGATGGCATTTGTGAAACCAGAGTGTGATTTGAAGCATGCCCTTCCTGAACGGAAGTTTTCCCTATTTACAGTGAATGCATCAGATGTAGCGGGCTTTTTTCTAGTGCTCTAGACACTATTGGGATCTCGCCTACCATCGATGCTCGTTGGATTTGTTGCATGGATGTATCGTTCTAGAGATACGCCTGGATGGCGCCAAATGTTGTGATATGTCGGAGAATGGATAGGTCGAGATTGTCGGTGACTCTTGCAGAAATGACTTCACCTGGTATCATAGTACAAAATAGGATAGAGATCGTTAGTCGACGTCTGGGAGGGGATCCCGGGATGAAGCTCCGATGATCTAGCTAGTATGAGATCTGAGAGAGATGTTAAGTGATTATAGAAAAGAGAGGATTCCATCCCGTTCTTCGTGAGGAAGAAGGATCCTTTTAGACCTGTCTTAGAGGCGTGTCTCTTAACTGATTCTATTGAGGCTTCACTTGTGGGGTGCGACGTGGTGGACCCATATTGGAGGGTCCTCCATCATGCCTTTTGCCTCCTTCTCCCATTTGCTAGAAGGAGATTTTTCACATGTTCACGAAGATCGTGGCTATGATTTGATGAGTAAGTAGGACTCTCTGATGATCCCACGTTTTGCAGGGTATGATTTCCCAGAGAAGGAATTAAGGCGCGACTCTACACCCTAACCGCCTCATCAACGACCCTTGTGTTGGCGAAGGCCCAGACTTGGCTTTAGATTGGGTTCTAACCAGGCCAACCATGGTGTCAGTTTGACTTCTCTTTTGACATTTCCTGGAAGAATAAGTTAACAGTCACAAGTTTTCTGTACATATATAAACGCCGAAATCCGAGTTATAACGAACAAGTTATGACCCATCAAAGTTTTACGGCAAAACCGGCACAACACCGGGAATCGTAAAAAGTGATTTTGCGATAAAATACTTTTTAGCCTAAGCGATCTAAGTGAAAGGCATAGTATACCTTAAACCAAGAGCATGCATAAAAAGAATGTCCAAATTTGACTTCGTATGAGGAACTTATGATTTTTCTAAGATTTCGCATAGCAGTGCACAGCCCGGAATTCGAATTTTAGATCGATCAATTTTTAACCGACACAACCTTAATTATATTTGAAGATCTCATTATAAGGAACCCAACAATATAAAGACAGACGAAAATGGACGTCGGATGACAAAGTTATGAATTTGTAACGGATTTTAATTGTGTAAGTCTGTTAAAATATAACTTAAAAAATAAAATCAAAATTAGTCAACGGAATCTAAACGAAAGTTGTAGAGTAAGTCACCAACTATGCATGAATATAAAGAACGTCAATAACGGAATCATATGCGAAAGTTATGGATTTTAGAAGATAATTAGTTTTTGGGGTAATCTAGGAGTGACACATGGCACAATCTTGACCATTGCTTCCTCTCCGCATCTTTCCATCAGATGGTGACACTTGGCACTGAACTCAATGAGTTGGAGGCTCATAACTCACTGAGTTGGGCCAATTTCCAGCCTATAAATACCATGCGAGGTTCTCCCAATTCCTTCACACCTCAACCCTTCTCTCTCTCTCTCTCTAACTTCTCTCTAAACCCCTCCCAACCCTTGGTACTTACGAAGTACTAAGAGGAAAGTCTCGGAGCGCCAGAAGGCTCCGAGAAGAAGAGCTTTTGGCTCAGAAGTTCGGCCCCCGCATAGGCCGGTTCCTAGCCAAACCTACCGATAATTGAGTTATGCTTACCCTACTTTAAGTATAGCTTATGTTTAAGTTCAATATCGTTATTATGAACTTATAAACAATATATATATATATATATATATATATATATATATATATATATATGTATATATATATATATATAATAAAATATAATATACAAAGTGTTATTATAATATCTTTTAACTACTTACAGTACAGGGAATCTTGTTTGAAGGACCGCATAGGGTTGTTGGATTTCAGAAGTGCCATAATGCCAAAATAGTCCTGCCCTCCGGTGTTTCATGTCTGGCCCTTGTCTGTACATAGTGCTTGAAAAGTATTGTCTAAGACTTATAAAACAATATCACTCCTAAAATTTCGCAATAAATATTAGACTAAAATCTAGCGGTAATGATACTAGGTTTCGTCGAAGAAAATAGAATTGTTAGAAGCAAAGCGTTGTCCGAGTTTGGAATCATCACTTTAACAAGTGAGTGCATAGTTACTTTCATCTTACACTAGATATGAAGTATTTAATATAAATTACATGCTATGTGTGCATATTATTTGTGTTCTTCATATCTATGTTGGATGAACCGAATATATATGTTTTATTTGATGTAAACTATATATGTATTTTATACTTATAAAAATATTGAGTAAAGATGGGTAAATGAATGATGAGGGATGAAAGATGATATAGATGAACATTGGTAGCTATGGACTTAGAGCCTTATAGATGAACACTAGCACTCACGCCACGATCTATAGATGTTTTTGAGCTACGATGTACTCTAAACATCCTAGCAGCTGCGCCTGAAGGATAATATTGGCAGTTGCGCCTAATAGAGAACATCATAATCCTAGAAGCTGCACCAAAATAATAATATTGGAAGTTGTACATAATAGATAACATTGGCAGCGATGGAATTCGTGCCTATTCCTTAGGAGAATCCTGAGGAATGAATATATGAAGAGCATATTATTCTTAGGGTGTATCCTTTAGAATAAAGAAGATAATATGGATGGGTAATTGGGTTAATTGTTTAATGATGAAACATAATCACTTTATTATTGTGGGTTGAAAAGCCTATGTACTCACCAGGTTTCCCAACCTGAACCACTCAGTTTATTTGTATCACAGGTGTCGATACGAAGCTACATTACACTTAGAGATTAAAGGAGATGTAAATCAGTAGTGTAAATGAATGTAAGGTCTGTTTATGCTTATGTTTCTGTATTGACGATGACATCCCAATGTTTTAATATAAACAACAACCCAAATAACACTCACTAGAATACGCATATACCTTATTATCACTTCCTAGAGAAAGGGTAGACATCCCTCGACTGGTCAGCTGACCCCACACAACTCATCCATGAAACTTCCACCAACCCTACAACACATATGTATGCTAATCAAACATAACATTAGATCCTACAGACAGTCGAATACTTGATTCTACCCTAAGCCCACAACCAAACAAGGAACATGAAATAAGGCCAAATCAAACTCAAGCTATAAAATCTTACTTATGTACAATTTTAATGCATACACTAAGAAACTACAGTAATAATGTCAATTTCATATAAGGAAGAAACCCTAGGCTATCAGGCATAATATAATCAAGCAATTCTATCATGTAATTCATGAAGTTCCCTAACCTAACACTAGCATGTTGTTCTAACATAA